TACAACATAACTCTGGTGCCTACACCTCAGAGTTCATTTTAGAAGAAGAAGAGACAGCAAGATTCTAAGAGACAGAAAACAGGGAGTTTGATGTGAGACAATGAATACTAGTAATGCCAGAAGGTACACCTTTACCAGGGACAGGTTACTTAGCTTCACAATTCAGTTCTTTTTTATTTTTTTGAGACAGGGTCTAAGTATGTAGTTTTGGCTAGTCTGAAACTTACATAGATATACCCACCTCTATCTCCTGAATGCTTGTATTAAAGATGTGTGTTACCATACCAGATTGCAATTCTATTCTTTTGTATCCATTTTGTGTTTATTTTCCTTTGGTGTTTTAATAGATTCACAGCTTTAATGGCACAGATATATACGATTGTCTTGCCTAAGTTGATATTCTATTGAGACTATCTTCTTATCTTCTCTGGTGCACAACTCTCCAAAGATGGTCTTAAAAATCCTTTATTACTGTAGAAATAAGCAATACTAAAGACCATAAGTGTTTTCTTCTTTTAGAAATAAGCAATACTAAAGACCATAAGTGTTTTCTTCTTTTTTTATCAAATTCTATTGAAGTCAAAAGAGATTTAAAATACCTCATTCTCAAGAGGGCTGAAAGATCCCTACTGGTCAACCTGGGTCCTCACAGTCCAGGCTGGCTGAAGGCGTCCACAGGACTGACAGACATCACAAGGGTGGATACCATTTTGATAAGCAAACACATGGTGGATAAAAGGAGAGAATGAGAAGCAGAACTGTTTGCGTGCTGTGGAGAGAAGCAGACCTGAAGAACCAAAGGCAGTGAGGAGCAGGCTGAGGTGGGAGCTCTGTTTGCCATGTAGGGCCAAGCTGCTTCTAACATCCATGTCTGGGTCCATAGTTCTACCATAGCAGGTATGTGTTTGGTATCCATGATCCATGTTGTCACCAAAATTCACAAGGATTCCAGGGGTCTAGTCAGCCACCTGTGGTCAAGTTAGTGTCTTAAAGTCATGTTGTTACTGGAGCCATGCTGATTTGAATGGCCCAGGGTCACAGTGATATCCAGGCCCAAGCTGCATCTGAGGTCTGTGTTGATGCCCATGGCCATGTTACCTCAGGAGGCTTAGGAATCACATATGCTAAAATCCAAGGGCGGTGCTGAGCTGGCCCTGTCTTTCTGGTGCTGGGATATCTGGCCCTGCCCCTCACTGGACACTGCAGCAGGAGATCTGGCTCCACTCCTCATGGGAGAGCTGACCCCCGTTCTCTGGAGGGTTGATCCCACCCCTCACCATGGGCGTGGGAGAGATGGCCCCAATGACATGAGCTTAGGAGGGCTGGATCTGCCCCTTACCTTAAAGGGGTGGACCTAGTGCCCCAGGTTGACCAGATTAGCTTCCACCTCGGGCTGGCTCACCCTAACATCTACTCCATCTGTGACCTGCTGGAGTGCATAAAGGAACTGGTCCTGCCAAACCATAGCCACAGGTTCTCCTTGACTCGGGGCAATAGCAGGATATCTGAGAAGAGTTTTGCTGAGGGTTCAGTGATGGTAGTATGCCAAACACCAGAGGCCTTTAGCCAGACCAAGGACTCATTGCAGTGAATGATTTTAGTGGGGCTGATTGGACAGGGTATACTATATGACACGGCACAGCCCCAAGTGCCACTAGGATGCGTGAAGAAGTGTTGGAGAGACTGGAGAGACGGAGGCTCATGGTGAGTTTGTTTTGTTTTACCTTGTATAAAATTTATTTGATGGGGTTTCTTTGCGGGGGTTACTGTAGGGGTAAATGGAGGATATGGAGGGACTGGGAGATGAGTGGGATTGAGGTACATGGTGTGAAATTCCCGAAGAGTCAATAAATAATTATGCCATATATACATACACATATATGTATATGTGTGTGAGCACGTTATTATTCTCTTTATCTTTCATTGCCAAGGAGATAAATATTAAAATAATCCAAAGATAAAATACTGTAAGCATACTCTAATAAGAACCAGTCTTTAAATATCACTGAAATTTAGTTTTGTTTGCTTAATCATATGTATTGCACTGAATGGCATTAGTTTACAAAGTTACTGAATTTGAGAACTACCTAACTCCAGTATTTTCAAATCTCTTATTTAGCTTCTTCAGAAGCCTTTATCTTTCTGTGTTTTTTATCTCAAAATTCACTACTTAGAGAAGACATTATTCTCCTTTTTGTTCTTTGCAAATTACAATGTGTCATTCAAATTCATTTTCTATACAAAGTATCAGAAAATTAGTTTTGAAGAAAAAACTCAACCTTATCAATAACATGTCCTCATGAAATTTCAAGAAAACTTAATGAACCTCAGTGCAAACTATACCTACCTAGTCAACTTTCTTATTGAATAGTCAGCTTTTCCTTCTATTCAGCAAGAACCCATCTTTTATTAAAAGGGATCGGCTTATTTTTATCTTATGTGCATGAATGTCTTTCTAGCATGTATATTAGTGCTCATGTATGTGCCATATTCTTGGAGTTCAGAAAAGGGCATGGAATCCCCTAGAATTGGAATTATTTATGGTTATTAGTCACTTTGTAGGTGCTGAGAACTGAACCCAGATCCCATGAAGAGCATCCAGTGCTCTTAACCTCTAATCCACCTTTTCAACCCACAATATCACCTTTGACTAATAAAATAGAAAATGAAAATATACAATGGAATAAAGAAAGCATGTTCAACAAATGGTGCTGGCATAACTGGATGCCAGCATGTAGAAGAATGCGGATCGATCCATGTTTATCGCCATGCACAAAACTTAAGTCCAAATGGATCAAAGACCTCAACATAAATCCAGTCACACTGAACCTCTTAGAAGAGAAAGTGGGTGGTACCCTTGAACGAATTGGTACAGGAGACAGCTTCCTGAACATAACACCAGTAGCACAGACAGTGAGATCCACAATTAATAAATGGGACCTCCTGAAACAGAGAAGCTTCTGTAAGGCAAAGGACACAGTCAGCAAGACAAAAAGGCAGCCCACAGAATGGGAAAAATATTCACTAATCCCACATCTGACAGAGGTTTGATCTCCAAAATTTACAAAGAACTCAAGAAGCAAGTCTCCAAAACACCAAAGGAACCTATTAAAAAGTGGGCTGCAGAACTAAATAGAGAGTTTTCAATAGGGGAGTCTAAAATGGCTGAGAGGCACTTGAGAAAGTGCTCAACATCCTTAGCCATCCGGGAAATGCAAATCAAAACAACTCTGAGATATGATCTCACTCCTGTCAGAATGGCTAAAATCAAAAACACCAATGACAATTTATGCTGGAGAGGATGTGGTGAAAGGGGGACACTCCTCCATTGCTGGTGGGAGTGCCAACTGGTTCAGCCACTTTGGAAATCAGTATGGAGATTCCTCAGAAAAATGGGAATAAACCTACCACAAGACCCAGCAACTCCACTCTTAGGCATATATCCAAAAGATGCCCATTCATACAACAAAGATGTCTGTTCCACTATGTTCATAGCAGCTTGATTTGTAATAGCTAGAACTTGGAAGCAACCTAGATGTCCGTCACCCGAAGAGTGGATAGAGAAAATGTGGTACATCTACACAATGGAGTACTATTCAGCAGAAAAAAATAATGGAATCATGAGATTCCCAGGCAAATGGATGACACTAGAAGAAACCATCCTGAGTGAGGTAACCCAGTCACAAAAAGAGAAACATAGCATGTACTCTCTCATATATGGATTTTAGACATAGATCTGGGGAGTGCCAGCCTACAATCCTACGGCCAGAGAGTCTGGGAAACAGAAACTTCATTTAGTGGCTGATGGAAGAAGAGGCAGACTCCCTTGGTTAAGTACTGAGCTGAACTCAAGAAAGCCAGTAACAGAGAGGGAGGACTGATGATCAAAGGGATTAAGACTGGGCTGGTTTAACCCCCCAGAAGCAGCTGACCAGACAAAGGTTAACTCTTGAATCCCAGGCATCAGCCTGGGAATCCAGCATGGGACTGATCAAGACCCCCTGAATGTGGGTGTCAGTGAGGAGGCCTAGGGAATCTATTGAGCCTTGGGCAGCAGATCAGTACCCATCCCAAGTATACACACGGACTTTGGACTCCCATAGAACAATGTGAGGTGCACTCTCACCCTGAACTCTTGGGGAAGGGTCTAGGCCCTGCCCTATATGAAATGACAGACTATGGACACCCCCATGGAGGGCCTCACCCTCCCTGGGGGAATGAGGGGATAACGGGGGGGGGGGGGTTGGGGGGAGGGCGCGGGAGGAGCGGAGGGAATGGGAGAAGGACCTGGAACTGACTTGTGAAGCAACCTTGTTTCTTATCTAAATTTAAACTGGAAAATAAAATATAAAAAATTACAATAAAATGACAGCAATGAAAAAAATAAATAGGAAAATGTTTAATATCAATATAAAAAGATTTTTAATCATGTTTTTTCTGTGAAAAAAAATAAAGTAGAAAATGTAGAAAATACATCTTTTAATTCTGTTTTATGAAAATTGCTCACTAAATTAATGACTTTTTATACATCACCTGATACATTCCCTTTTTACCTTCTATATGATCATATTTAGAGATGTGAATCCCCTTTCTCAAGTGAACTTCAATCCAGACCATGAAAAAACTCAAAGGCTCTTGTTTCGTTTGTACCTTTAACCCCGTGCCAGGCATGATTTGCTTCTCTGGGAGTATTGACCATGGAATCCATAGAGGCTGCAAAATCATACTTGTGGGAACTCATTCAGCCAATAGTCTTTGAGGTATCAGTACATTTGGAGGGTGTCTCAGGTGCTATGGGTGGACTAGGGGCAGGCTGGTGCCTCTTGGGTGGTGGTTAGAGAGATGAGAGCAGCATCCTGCACCTCCAGGGTCGCCATATTGATGCTAAACTTAGTGTGGACACACAATTGGCATAGCACACTACAGCAGAACTCCTGGACTCAAGTGATCCTCATGTTTCAGCCTCCCAAGTAGCTGGGACTAGAGACGTGCACCACGATGCCGGGCTAGCTCAGTCAGTGGAGCATGAGACTCTTAATCTCAGGGTCATGGGTTCAAGTCCCACATTTGGCACAAATTGTAGCTAGAGCTAGGAAGTTCATGAACATCTGGATAAAAAATTTCAAATATTTATTTGGTGAATGCTTACACAATGAAGGTAAAACATCACCGCAGTCTTCTCCCTGGAGGCACAGGATGCTGCTCTCAGCTACCTGACCACCACCCAAGAGACAGCCAGCCTATTGCACCTGAGACACTGTCTCCAAAGAGTCTGGTACCACACAGACTTTTGGCTGAATGAGTTCCCACAATGCAAACCGTTTATTGCCACTGCACTTGGATGCCTAACAGAACTACAGTAACACTGTACTGCGGAAGATGTCATATATTTTGAATATAAAACACAGAAAACTCAAGGTGAGACTCACTTGGATAATCAACTCACTGTTTTCGAGGTGCTATGCAGGGTGCTAGAGCAGAAAATCATTACTGGTCTTACAAAGCAGTGAACTTGTGTAGTACAATACTGACCCACCAGAAAAGATGTGTCCTCTGAAACCACCATGTCATGGTGGTTGAAGGGATAATCATTGGCTCTCTTATTATATTTGAGACCCCTGTATGAGAGGAGATAGATGGCTCATAGTGTAAACCTGGTCAAAAGGCTGTGGCTGAAGAAATCAAGGAACCTAGGGAAGAGTTTATTATTGTTGTTTTGTGAAATGACCATATAGTCAAACTGCCTTCTAATTATATATATATATATAGTTCTGTTCTAATTTTGATCAAAAAGCTTCTTCTACTTTCTTGTTTTCTTTTTTTACATTAGGTATGGTTAATGTAGAAATGTGTAACTGATAAGGTGCTAAAAATACACAACTGTTGCAGGTTCACTCCTATGTAGACAGCCATGTTGCCCCCTCCAAGCTCTGTAAACCAAAGAAGACATAGAAAACTGTGAGCGTCAATAAATAAAGAGGAATACCATATCATGTTGTCTTCTGGATATGGCATTTTAGCTGTCATCATGAATGCACAGTAGTTGTGGTTACCTGCACCCAAACTGCACACAAGCATATGAAGGCAGACAGGTCACTGGGTAGAAGAAGGGAATAATTAAGAGAGATAGGAAGATAAGGGGGATGGGGAGTGGATAAGGTTCCACTACATTGTTTGTATGTCTCTTAAAACTGTAATGTTCAAACACCTCTCTCACAGCTATAACAACTATAATACATAAATATAAACAAGACTGAGGGCCGATTAATGAAGAATTATCGAAAATGTTCTAAGTAGTGTGTGTGCGTGTGTGCCTGTGTGTGTGTGTGTGTGTGTCTGTGTGTTAGCATCAGAATCCATTATTGACAGTATGATACCAAAGCTGGTCATCTTGAGGAGTATTCTGCCTTACAACTTTACAGCTGCCTGTGGTATTATCTAATGTCCACTCCACCGTCAGAGTATTGAAGAGACATCATTTGTTAATGCACAAGCTCCAAAGTCATTCCCTATCTATTACCTAATATAATAAGGGCCATCTAAATCTCATTTTTTTGCAGAGTGAAAATCAAAACCTCTTCTCAGGTATACTTTGCTTTCCATCTGGAAGGAAACAAGCCTGCCAGTTTTAAAATAACACCTTTCCCATGTTAAAAAAACACCTCCTTGCCAGCACTCTGCTATATGCCTCTCGTTCTCGATAACACAATTTTATCATACCCAAGTGAGAGTTATCAAAGAAATAGCATTTAAGTCAGAAATTATACATTGAAAGAGATGACTAATGCTTGGTAATAAATTTCAAATTACTAAAACTTGGCAGATTATTGTTTTTTATTTTAATAGATGGTATTCTATATGCCATTTTTTCAAAATGGAATTGAATTTGCTCCACGTCCTCATCTTCAAGAGTTTGAGAGCTATCTAGTTTGAGAGGTTGGAGAGTCAACTTGTTTTACTAAAAATGGCATAAATCAAACCTTTGGTGTGCATATATTATACAAAGATTTCTAACTGACTTGCACAAAGAAGAACTTTCAGGAGGGATATTAGATATGGATTTGGAACAGCTGGGCTTTAGAAATTAAAAATTAAGGTAATCTTGAAAGGCAAGCAGCAGGAGGCACAGCAGCTTGGACATCTGCTGCCAGTGCAGTCGCTATGGTGACAACTCTTCAAACTTTCCTTCCATCCTGGTGACACTTGCTCAAGATTTATGTTGTAAAACGTTATCATGTAGGAATGTCCTTCCTGCATGCTTGTCTGTGCACACATTGCATGCCTGCTGTTTGCAGATGCAGGAGAGACTGTTGGATCTCCTGGATCTTAAGTTATAGACTGCTGTAAGCTTCTCCATGAGTACTGGGCTCAGGTCCTCCAGAAGGGCAGTGAGCGCTCTCAATGGCATGGAGCCTTCTCTCTAGCCTCACTTGCTCAAGATTTATAATCACAGGGAAGAGCATATATGTTAGATCTTAAGCTAGTTACTACCTCCCTGAGATCTGAGAAGAGAAACCAGGTTCCCTGAAGCTACCACAGTCCAAGCTGAGACAAAAACCAGAAAAGTCTTCCCAGGGAAAAATGATGTCATAGAATAAAAACATAGCTGTAACAGCTCCCTGAAAAAAAATGAAACAATGTTTTACACTTAAATACTTGATTGTCATACATTATAACTTATCCAGTCTGTCTATTTTCATAAAAGCAGGAGGTCTGAGTGGGACTAGAGTAAATACATAGGGTTCAGTGTTAAACTCCTTTCCATCCTGTCTTCTCCCAGAGACCTTATCAGGAACTTGGATGAAGCTAGTCTCTAACACATGGTGAGAAATTTTCGTTCTTGTTCTCAGGAACTTTCTCAGATCCACAAATATGGTTTCTTTAGGATTGTTGAATGCAGTGACTCTTAAACACCTTTCCTTTATTTTGCTAAAAGAAAATCAAGGTTGTGTAATTATGCAAGCTCTCTTCTGCATAAATGACTGTAGTGGAGAATAGCAGCTCTGGGAAGCAGCATGGAAATTTGCAAGGACATGCTCTAGCTAATGTTCACCCAATGATAGTCCCCACTTTTTAGTTATTAAAAGGAATTTTTATGAATGGTTAGACACAGACCAGGGTATCAGAGACGTTCAGGTCCCTGGACACATTTTGAGCATCAATAACAACTTTTCAAACAGTTTCAACTTCTTAGCAAGTTTGAATTTTTTATGAGAAATAGAAACTTTTGTGGAGATAATGAGTTAAACTTTTATGAGACAGCTGACTGAAAAAGCTTCTATTTTTGGCTCCAAAATAAAACCTGCCAAATATTTGAAATGGAAGAGTAATTCTAGCAAAATAACAACAACACTAGTCTCTTCAAAATATTTCAGCAGCAAAAAATAGAGTAAAATTTAAATATTATGTTGTACATTAGGGCAGCTGACCTAAACAAGAGGGAACACATGGACCCCAGACTAATGACTGAGGGGCCAGCATGGGACTGATCCAGACACCCTCTCACCGAACCTGGGTGACAGAGAGGAGGCCTCAGCAATCTGTGGGACCTGGCAGAGTGGAGCAGTATTTATTCCTGGCATACAGAAAGACTCTGGGAACCCATACCATGTGGAGGGATGCTCTCTCAGCCTGGACACATGGGGAAGAACCTAGGCCCTTCCCGGGATGATGTGACAGACTCTGAAAATCCCTCATGGAGGCCCTTGCCCTCCCTGGGGAGAAGAGGAGGGATTCTGTCTCTGTACCCATTCTGTTAGCCTGTGTCATTTCATAGACAAGTTAAGACCGTTAATATTGAGGGAGATTAATGACCACTGATTGCTAATTCTTGTTTGTTTTGACTTTGTTGTTGTCAGTGGTACTGTGTGAATCCCTCTTGCTTCTTTTCTTTTGGCTGTTGGTAAAGTGGGATTATCTATTGCGTATGTTTTTTGGTTGTAGTTAACTTCCTTGGGTTGGAGTTTTCTTTGCAGAATTTTCTATAAGGCTGGACTAGTGGATATGTATTGTTTAAATCTGTTTTTTCATGGAATATCTTGTTTTCTCCACCTATAGTGATTGAAAGCATTGCTGGGTTTAATAGTCTGAGGTGGTATCCGTGGTCTCTTATTGTTGGTGGAATATCTATCTAGGACCTTCTGACTTTCAGAGTTTCCATAGAGAAGTCAGGTTTAATTCTAATAGGCCTGATTTTATATGTTTCAAGAATTCTTGAAATGCACAAGGGTCCTAATGCATTAGGAAACATTATTCTGATTATTTTTCTCACTCATAGAAATGTTAATGAATGAGAACAGCAGATTTTAAACCAAAATTTTATTTTTTAAGAAATATAGTTTGTAGTAGTCCATGATTTTTAACTTCAGATACATTTCATAGAGGATCATGCATCATCTGTTTGAACGTACAGACACTGACCCACTGACCTTGTCTTTATACAAGGGTCACTTTTAAATCTTTCTATGTGGGTAGAACTTATCATGCTCCGTCTACCTTTTATTATTTGCTATATCTAAACTCAACTACTAATGGTTTTTAAGAAAGAGCAATATAATTATATAAATTACCTCAGAATGATGGTAGTTGAACATTTCTTTCTTTTTAGGGGTGGGGAACTGAAGCTTCAAGCTGAAGATCAGAGGAGCAAAATAGCCAGCCACTAGCTCTTCCCTCCCTCAGACTGACAGGAGCTTCTGGTTCCAACAAACCTCAGACTGAAATCCCAGACTGCTATGTGACTGGAGAAGCTTGAGACTGACTACTGAAGTCCCTGCTCCTATCTTTTATATCTCTCTAGTGCTGAGATTAAAGACATGAGCTCTGTTACTCTTTTAGACTGATTTAAATCTCATGTAGTCCTAGGTGGCCTTGAACTCAGGAAGATCCATCTGCCGTTGTCTCCTGAGTCCTGGGATTAAAGGTGTGTGCCACCACTGTCTGATATCTATAGCTTGAGATTGATCTTGCTTTCTGAATCCTCAGGCAAGTTTTAATAAATCATAAATAATACATCACCACAATTCCCTTTTTTGTTCAATGTAAAAAGAAAAACTACTAACATAAGAGCTATG